TTGTTCTTCTCTCTCCTTCAATCTTGTTCATGTGTGATAAGATTTCTTATAAGATTATCAAGAGAGAGTTTAGATAATCATGAGATTCCTCGATAGCGGTTATCTTAGCATCCCATTCATGAAAGTGATTGGAGAACTTTGCGAACAAGCTCGTCTTGGCTATACTTCTTTTTCCTTATGCCTTGTTCACAGGACAAATTTTCAAAACCAACACTTTTAGACATTTAATTGCAAAAACCGACCCCTTTTCATAATAATTGCAAAAACCGACCTGTTTTCAGCCCAGCGCTGAAAACAAGTCGGTTTTTGTAAAAAAATCTCCGAAACATCACGGGAGTTCAACTCCCGTGAAGTTTATGGAGAAATTAAACTTCACGGGAGTTCAACTCCCGTGAAGCTTAATTTGTGCTTAAAACTCCACGGGAGTTCAACTCCCGTGGAGTTGCAGTCAGCAATTTCAGAGAATCGAGTCTCTGGCAAATTGTGACTGCAACTTCACGGGAGTTCAACTCCCGTGAAGTTGCAGTCCACAATTTGCCAGAGATCGAGTCTCTGGAAATTTGGCACTGCAACTTCACGGGACTTAAAATCCCGTGAAGTTGCAGGTCACCCAGCATGCACAGCTGCTGTGCAGGTTTTGTATATTTACCTGTAAATCATATATATGTCAATTTATTTACAAACAACAATATATACATGATTCAACAATGAATTATAACTCATATATATGCCAATTTATTTGCAAACAACAATATATACATGATTCAACCATGAATTAAACACACACGATTATGTATATGAACAACAATTTATCTTCAAAAGTTCAGTATTTGAAAATTCAGGAAAGTTACAAAATTTATCAAAATAAGTTCATATACAACCCAATATAGCTCACCTCCTTCCTCTCCCTCTCTTCCCCCTCCCCCTCGCTCTTCCCCGCCCCCTGGGTTCTTGCTGATGAGCCGCAACTATCTGAGTATCCGGCTGTGTATGAAGCTGCGAAGTGCCGGCTCCATCGGCATGCGAAGTGCCGGCGTCATCGGCATGCGAAGTGCCGGCTCCATCGGCATGCGAAGTGCCGGCTCCATCGGCATGCGAAGTGCCGGCGTCATCATCACGCGGCCGTCGACGTCGAGCGTACGCCCGTCCAAATGAGCGAGACCTGTCCTCACGGCCTGCGAACTCGTCGACGTGAGTCTTATGGAACACCTGCGCTATGCTCTTCTTGATCCTGCTGAGGAGCCCTAACGCCACCTGATCCTGAATCTCAGGCATGTGCGCATCAATATCAGCATCAATGCTATCTAAAACACGGACCTGCGTGGTAAACAATTTATTAAGTATCAACTCAATAAAAAATATTATAATTTAGCTTAGAAACTTACGTAATCTCTCTCGTTCATCCCACTAGGGATGTAACTATCTGTCGGTGGGCGTGGCATGTGTCCAGCTAAAGGCTGTGGGTCACGCGTGATCCATCTACGTGTGATACCCCAATACCAACGCATATACGTGGTATAGTCAACAGCTGTGGGCCTTGTATCCTGTATGTAATCCCACCTCTGAACCCACCTGTCTATGTAGGCCGCACGGACTACGATCCAGTCAGTCCGGTGCGATGTGTTGGTTTTCCCCGTCGATGTGTTGGTTTTCCCCGTCATCACGATCTATCAAGGTCATGCTATTAATTTGTAATCCCTCCTCTTCATCATTCTCGGATTCAACACTTGCATTATCTTCTTGAATTCCCGTGTTAGTATCGAAAGCATTCGAAGTGCCCACGAACGAAGGACCGCTCATGTATTGTGATTGTGTCCAACATTCATCTTGTTGAGGAGATAAAAAGCCTACAGAATCAACTTCAGGATCCTCCAACACGCGGGAATACATTCCTTCGTAGTTCAACGATTTGCCCAAATCTCTCTGATGTTTTTCAATGAACAATTCGACCGAACGCTTCTCGTCGTGTAAGACATGAATAAGACCCATATCGTAGTCACTTGATATTTGAATGCCACTTGTTCTGTTCTCCACAACAGGATAATTGCAAACCACACTGAGGTGATACTCACGTGAGTTAGTTAATGTAAGTTTGTGTAATTCATTAACCAAATCATCGAAAGTACACGATTTTGTTATGAACAACGGTCTCGTCGTGCCTCCTTCATAAACGGGCATATTATTCTCGAGGTAATTAATCTTCCCATCATAAGAACAGAGAATTACAATTCGATCATTCATCGTTACCTCTGAAGAGTGAAAAATTCAATATCAATATTACACGAAAAGCCAAATAAATATTGATTGTTACTAATTTTTACATTTAGGTAGTAACTCTAATTTCCACATTAATTGATAATTTCACCTCTAAATACGCAAAATTATTTAATACGTCTTCACAAAATTCGTAAATAATTCACAATTAAATTCTAAAATCTAATTTATATCATACATATGCAAAAATCTAAAATCTAATTTTTCTTCACAAAATCTAAATAATTCACAATTAAATTCTAAACTCTAAATACAATAATTTTCGAAATTATTGATAATTTTTTCTCTAATTTGACAAAATTATTGATAATTTACACACTAATTCTTCACAAATATCACAAAATTATTGATAATTTTCCTTCTAATTTTCACATTTATTGATAATTTTCCCTTTAATTTTCACATTTATTGATAATTTCCAATCTAATTTTCACATTTCTTCACAAAATTCGTAAACAATTCACAATTAAATTCTAAAATCTAGATTTCTACATGTAATCACAATCAAATAGTGGGAGAATACAAAAATTAGAGGGGGGGGGGGGGGGGTCACGCGCGCTTAAATAGGTGGCAGCAAACTCCACGGGAGTTCAACTCCCGTGGAGTTGCAGTGCCAATTTTCCAGAGACTCGATCTCTGGAAAATTGGCACTGCAACTTCACGGGAGTTGAACTCCCGTGAAGCTGCAGTCACAATTTCCAGAGATCGATTCTCTGGATTTGTTGACTGCAACTCCACGGGAGTTGAACTCCCGTGGAGTTTTAAGCACAAATTAAGCTTCACGGGAGTTGAACTTCCGTGAAGTTTAATTTCTCCATAAACTTCACGGGAGTTGAACTCCCGTGATGTTTCAGAGAATTTTTTACAAAAACCGACCTGTTTTCAGCGCTGGGCTGAAAACAGGTCGGTTTTTGCAATTATTATCGAAAGCGGTCGTTTTTTGCAATTAAATTCCTAAAACGGTTGGTTTTGAAAATTTGTCCCTTGTTCACAATATCTGTGAAATTGTGTGAATATCTCTTGTATGCTCTCCAAGGCCTTCATATTAAAATTTTCATACGTGCTCACATATAAGCTTAGCCTCCTTAACCTGTGAAGTACCTTCATATGTGACCTTCAAGAAATTCCAAATTTCCTATGCAGTCACACAATCAGAAACATGATTTAAATTCGCCAGAATTCAAAGTACAATACAATGCATTCATAGATTCATAGCGTTAGCGCTAAGAGAGTATAGTTTCTTTTCAGTTGCCATCTACTTGTCTCTAGGTTTAACTATGGTGACTTTGGCCACGGTGTTAGTGGGTTCGTGATAGCATGATTCTACTATGTTTCAAATGTCATAATCAGTAGATAATAAAAAAAATTATCATGTGAGCTTTCTAATACGATAATTTCATGCCATCAAAGAGTGGGGGTTAATTAGTTAATAACATGACCTTCAGGGAAAGAAGTTGAGAATCCTAAACTTGTCATCTATCCTATGTTGTGAAGCGTAATATATGGATATTGGGCTTTGATACCGGTTGTTGTATTTGAGAAACAAGCCTAGACGGGGTAAATAGATTTGCCTATTGTTTTTTGAGGTACAACACAATGTGTAACGAAAATTAAAATAATAATAATAATAATAATAATAATAATAATAATAATAATATAATAAGCAATGCAATAATCACAAAAACAATCACAATTAGAACACATTAGATTTTATAGTGGTTCGGATAAACAATTATATATCCATTCTTTCTTCTCGTGAAGGGACTTCTTCACTATGATGGAAATTCTCTGAATCACACACCTGATTCAGTAGGTTTACAAAACCGAAACCCTAGTTTTTCCCAAACTAGTTACTTAACCTAGTGTTACACATAAGGAACCCAGACCCTAGTTAGTGATCAATTTCTCAATTCAACTTGGCTTGAGTGTGCCATAAACCCTTAATTCACCCTAACTTGAGTATGTCATAAAAAAATAAGTTTAGTACAAAGTATTAAATAGTAATTAAACATAATATAGAAAATCTTACAGTCCTTTGATTGTGCAAGCCGTTCTGTGAAGCATATAAGTGAAACTCGATGAAGACATCGTTGATGATGAAGTCCAAGGGCAACCATTAATAGTTAAATCGTCACTGTCAATGGTCAAGTTCAACCATTGATAATTTGAATGTTTCTGGACGTTTGCACCATTAATAATTGATAGTACCATCAATGGTCTTTAGATCAAATTGAGAGCTTTCCAAAAAGCTATTATAGCAGCAATTCTAATAACCGAGTCAAAAATTACGACTGGAGTAAGTTTTAGCCTCGCCGTATGTTTTGAACTGTTGCTAACTGTTTCGATGTTGCTTAATTAAAATATTCATATCTAGAGCTATACATCTTCGAAATGAGTTCTGTTTATTCCTATTGATTGGTGAAAACGAAAAGGACCCACCCATATGCTCAAATTTGATTTTCACTCTTGATAATTTTTTCAAAATCAACTGTGATTAACTTATCGTCTTGCTCTATACACTTTCAAACTTAATTTTAATTTCTTACAACATGTACAAAACATCTTACACATATATTAGACCAATGTGAATGTTTGTTATTCGTCAAACTAAGTCGATTGCATGGACATGGTCCTAATATTTTTTTCTACTAACAACACTTGGCAAGCCAGGAAAGGAGCATCACGAAGGTAGGCTTGGGCGATATATACACAACAACAACAAAAAATTCAACACTAATCTGCTAACTTATGTACATTACTGAAACAAATGTAGCAATTTAGATTTCAATCATTTGAACCTGGAAGTAGGTATAAATTGAGGTTTTTCCATAGAATAATACATTTGACATTAGGAGCCATCTATGTGTGAACTTGCAAATAATTAACGATTCCTTGTCAAGGGTGCATTCTTTAATTTTTTTAAAAAAAAGAAAGTTTTCCCTGCATTGCACAAAATCACACTAACAGAGGCTCGATCAACGGCCTTGAACGGCCTCTGGGGAGGTCCATCGAATATGTGACAAATGCCGAGAGAAGCGCACAAGATGCGGGAACGAGTCCCAGACCATACCTGTTCACAGAAAAGCCACGTCTCATGCTAAGAGGGCCAGCGCTCCGATCAGGATCTACGGCAAAAAAACAATTGAATTTGTCAAGTGGAAATGTGTTAATTCACATTCAGTTGGAAAATAAAATTTTAATTTCTTAATAAACTTTTAGTAGTGTACAAAGTTATAGCGTGTTTTGAGCTTAAGGATCTTGAAAAATCATACCTTGGTACGATTCCAGAACATACAGTGCAATCCCACATGATAATTTTTCCAGGAAACCCAATGACCCATAAACAAATGCACAGCCATTCAGATCTTGACCAACCAAAATACTTTGCAGGCTAATTCCAGTCACCTGCAACAAACTAAATTATCAAACAATTGCCACCAAGATTTTTTTTTTTTTCAAGAAAACCACCAAGTATTTGCTATGGCCCAATATTGGAGTGATCAACATGCAATGCTAATTATCAAGTTCATAGCATCATATTTTTGTCACCAAGTCCAGGATAGATAAGGTTAAGTCGGGTCTAGGAATGCATCAAGAGGGCCTGAAGTGCAAATATACTGATAATATCCAATAAGTGGGAAGAAGAAAATTTTCCTCAAATATAGTTCTACAAAAATGAAATACGAGCAAAGCAAATTCAAATATCGATATATGATTCTGGGATAATGTCAAAACATTTACAAATTTTTTCTATGGTGGTGTGAGGCTGTGAGTTAAGGCCTACAAGTAATGTTGACAATAAGACACTTAATACTTAGCAAGTTACTTCAACTTGCAATGACTGTACAAATGAATTGAACTAAGAGCATAAAAAATCAGAAGTTTAATATAATGATAAGTGTTAGGATTAGAATTAAAATTGGGTATTTGGGTATAGACCTGTAATATTGGGTTATAATTCATATCCACTATTGTGTTTATCTTTAAACTTTCTCATTGAACAATTAATTGACTATTCTCCAATTCATAATGTGGTTGTATCAGAGTGGTCTATGAAAACCCTAGCCCTCATTTTTTTTTTCCATCCTAACCATTCATCTAGTCTAAGCCGAACAAGAAGAACACTAAAAATTTCATTAAACAAGATTCACAAGCTTACCATCATTAAAGCATTGGCAATGCCAATAGCTACTGATAGAATGTACATGAGGTTGTGCATGTTGCTTGGAAGAATAAAGATTCCCACACCACAAAATATCCACACAATGGCTCCAGCTGTAAAGAAGATTTTAAGGCGCCAACCGCTCCATCTCATCTCCTGCATGTAACTAGTGCTTATTATTTCAAAACGAGAAACTAACATTTTTTAACCAGCCAAAGAAATTTGACAACTAGATTTCTTTAAGGTCAAACCTGCAAAATTACAGATGTAATGAAGCTGCAGATATAGATAATGCCAGGTACCTGCAAGGTCCATTAAATTATTAAAGTCATCCCCAAAGAATCTCTAAGAATTATATATTTTGAATTGGATCTAAGAATGCAGTACTCACCACTGCCTTTGAGGAGGGACTCATTTGCAGATCATCAATAACATAGAATGCAAGAAGTGCCTGATCAGTGACAAGTAACAGTGTGAGAGATTATTGTTATGTCTATTCCTGTAACTTTGTCTTTAGAGCATGTTATCGAACCAAAAAGTACACTAGTCTTCATTCTGTTGAAATCTGATTTATTATATTTCTGTAAAGTTAAGTCAGAAATTTGACAATCCAACCAGGGGAAAAAAACACAAACACAAATGAACACACACAAATTTGATAAGGCATAACTATGATGCATGCTGATAAAGAAATATACTTATCAGAAGTTTCAAGGATGCATAAATGAGAAGTCGACACGTGGAAATCAAGTTAGATTCGTGGAAACAATAAAATCTTGTGAAATGTAATCGAAAAATTAAACAGCAATCTTAAGTTAGAGATGCATGTGTACTTCAGTTCAATCACACGACAGCATTCAGTTAAGATTTGTGGAACTTTAACAGTATACATTTTAAAGAATCATAAGGGTTCAAGTTCTGACCTGTGAAACATTTGTTACTAATCGAATAAGCACGTATACAACAGCAACTTGATAGTACAAAATCTTTCTGAACCAGTGGGACCATGCTATCTTAGTCGGCCTTTCCAACTTGATTTGTATTTTCAACCTGTATAAAAGCATAATATATAAAGGGACTTATAAGTAAAGATTGTCAATTAGCTTTAAGTGTAATACAAGGTGATATTTGTGAAAACAGAAACACCAATACCAGGGGAAAAAAGAAAAAGAAACTATGCTAAATTTCCTAAATGAAACTTTTTTACATATGGCGCCAAAGAACGTATAAATTATAAGAAATTACCTGAAATGGTAACAAATGAAAAGTTAGAACTACAAGTTCACATGGATAATTTGCTCACTCTGGCTCTTTGGTTCCAATCAGAAATATGCCCACAAAACAAAATCCCAAGAAAATGGAGAAGTATGCAATCCAGCGGTACTAATCAAATTAAAAATAGTATAAGAATCTGACCAGATATAACAAGATATACAGAGAATGAAGTTCCAATGCTAAAATAAAAAAGTACCTGAATTTTAATATTGGCAGATGCTTTGGCACCATAGATACTGAAAACAACCAATGCCACTGCATAAAGGCTAAGATTTGCTACCTACAGCAAGAGTCAAAATCTCAAGAATTCTGAAGGAACTTCGGACATTTGAAATGACCAAAACCACAGAAATAAAAAACATGAAAACAGCATCAAAGAGACTATAACCATAGTGAAGGCATTTCGGCAACTAGCAAGTGCAACTCTACTGGTTGGGTTCAGTGTGATGCAGTTCACCATCGACCTTCAAATAAATAATAAAGAACAAACATGTTACAAATTAATATAAGGGAGCTTCACTAAGTCACAAAAACCACTGAGAACCTTGAAATTTCATTGGCTTACATATGTGAAACTTGGGTGGCAGCCCAGCCCATGTTAAAAATAGAAGCAAAGATGCTGTATCCAATAGTTTGCAACAATGAAGAACTAACTCCATAAATTTTACAAGGTAGGCAGCCACCAAAAACCGAAGAAAATGAGACTGCAACCAAAATGGATCCTCCGGCATGCCATAGTTTAAAATGTCCAAAGTTGTCAATCTGTCAAGAACTATCCCAGTGAGAGGGGGAATTAATTTAAAAATGCAGCAGTACTGATGCTTAAAAACAGAAACTAATATCATTTTAGTCCCAGCAAGCAGATTCTTTGCCTAAGATTGCCATCCCCATTTAAAGGGTAGAGTTGTTCCATGTATCATATTTGAACTATCTCCATTTATATTTTAACACATAATTTTATTCTTCTCGTTTCTTATGATAAAAAAGGCATGCCCATCCCTTCCAAAAAAATCATACTTTACATTGTTCAGTCTTCTGCAACAGTGACAGACGAGTGAGCAGCAAATTGTGGGGTAATAGAAACCAAATGTACATCTCATGCAAGAAAGTAGGTTAGCATCCTCATCAACCAGTGAAGCGCCATGAAATTTCAAATATTCGAAGGAAAATATGGATCATGGAGCTTGCATATTAGACATTTACATGAAAAATAAAAAAATGAAGGAGATTGTAAAAGGAAATTAATTGGTGTCTACCAGCTCTCCAGCAAATACTGTTGTAAATGCATCAGCGACTTGACCAGAAAGCATGATCTAATTCCAACAGACACAAGCATGCCTTGCATAAATGTCAATCCTAGGAGCATCCCCTTTTTCAGAAAGCAATGGACAACAAAAAAGCCATTTTGCTCACCCAAGCTATTGATGCTTAAAGATTAGAAATTCCTCCTAACAGTACCTCCTGAATTGTTAATGATACATTTACTATACGAGTGTCTAGATAAGATAAACCTATATTTACATTTTACAGGAGATGAGTGATGACTAACAACTAAGTATACTATTCTCTATGGATTGATGCATCAAACTCAAAATTTCCATTATCAACCATAGAATTATGTCACAAGTAGGAGCTTTGGACTAGCACAATATAATGATACAATGATAGTGGCAATTGTGGCGAGGTCACAACAATTGATAGCTTTGTCTCAGTACGATCGCAAGCAGCAACAACACTATTAGAGGTCATGAGGTTCCATTTGTCGGACCGCATAGGTCATTCCCAGTAGGCAAATATTTTTGGTGTATAAGTTCATATCCCTTAGGAATAGCATTGAATGTGTAGCGAATTGAGAAAACCCTAATTGTTGTTTATTGAGAATAACAAGAGAGATATATATAGCCATACAAATAGGGTTAATGTTAACGGGTAACAGCCCATTAACCCAATACCCAATACTTAACTTAACACTCCCCTTCAAGCTGGAACATAGATGTCTACCATACCCAGCTTGTCACATATAATAGAGAACACCTTTGAAGAAGTAGCCTTGGTAAGAATATCAACAAGTTGTTGTGAGGACGGAGTGAATATAAGAGATACTATCTTCTTCTCCCAAGCATCTCTGACAAAATTGCAGTCAACTTCAATATGTTTTGTCCTCTCATGAAACACAGGATTCTGTGTAATATAAATGGCAGACTGGTTGTCACAATGCATTGGCATGGGTCCAGGCTGAACAAAACCAAGTTCTGTCATAAACTTTTTTAGCCACACCATCTTACAAGCAGTGTGAGTCATTGTTCTATATTCAGCCTCTGCACTAGATCGTGATACTACATCTTGTTTCTTGCTTCTCCAAGTCACAAGATTACCTCCAACAAAAGTATAAAATCCTGAGGTTGACTTCCGGTCTCTCATGTCTCCTGCGTAGCCAGCATCAGAGAAAGCCGAAATGTGAGTATGTCCATGCTTCTTATATAACAATCCCTTGCCAGGACAACTCTTGACATATGCCAAAATCTTCAGAGTTGCTGTCCAATGAACCTCTCTAGATTTGTGCATAAACCTGCTCAGTACACCTACTGTAAAAGTAATATCAGGTCTGATAACTGTCAAATATATTAGCTTCCCAATTAGTCTCTTATATCGTCCAGCATCATCTAGGAGAGAAGTATCATCACGCCACAAATTAACATTTACCTCCATTGGAGTGCTTGCAGGTTTGCATTCCAAGAGACCTGCTTCTTCTAATAAATCTAGCACATACTTCCTTTGGGACAACAACAGGCCATGTTTTTGATATGCAACTTCAATCCCAAGAAAATACTTTGGCTTTCCCATGTCCTTAGTGATAAAATGACGGTTTAGATACTCCTTAGTCTCAGCTAAGGCAATAGAGTCACTCCCAGTCAGCAGAATATCATCAATATATACGACTAAAATAACCAAACCAGTTGTTGTGCGTCGAAGAAAGACAGAGTGATCAGACTGACAACGTTGGAAACCAACATTAGAAATAACCTTGCTGAACTTATCAAACCAAGCTCGAGGACTCTGCTTTAACCCATAGATGACCTTTCTCAGCCTGCAGATAAGGAAACCAACATTAGAAATAACCTTGCTGAACTTATCAAACCAAGCTCGAGGACTCTGCTTTAACCCATATATGACCTTTCTCAGCCTGCAGATAATATTCTCCTCCTGAGCAACATACCCAGGAGGTTGCTCCATATAAACCTCCTCGTCCAAATCATCATAAAGGAAAACATTCTTCACATCTAGTTGGTGCATCGCCCAATCCATATTAACAGCCAGAGAGAAAAGAATTCTGATGGAGTTGAGATGAGCAACGGGAGAAAAGATTTCAAAATAGTCGACGCCATATGTCTGGGTATAACCTTTAGCAACCAGACGAGCTTTATAACGATCAACAGACCCATTGGGACGATATTTCAGGGTATACACCTATCTGCAACCAACCACAGTCACTCCAGTAGGAAGAGAAACAAAGTCCCAAATCCCTCTAGAAAGTAGTGCATTCATTTCCTCATCCATGGTCTGCTTCCAAGCTGGTACTAACATAGCTTCCTCATATGACCTAGGTATAGATACAGTGGGCAAGGATAAGGCAAACTGACGAAAAGATGGGTTGAGACGGTCATAAGAGACAAAAAGAGATATAGAATATTTCGGACAAGACCGTTTACCTTTTCGAAGAGCAATAGGGATATCCAAGTCAGAAGGAATAGAGGTCTCAACATGAGATGGACCGACAGCTGGAGATGAATGTTCAGCAGTAGCAGATTCAGGGGCATGTACTTTTGGGCGGCGAGAGTATGTCAGTAGAGGCTTCGGTGCAGGAGCTACAGGAACAGGTACTGGAATAGTAGTAGGAGCAGAAGAAGGTAGTGGTACCTATGGACAGCCAATAGTAGTGGAACCAGATGAAAAATATGAGACATACTCAAAAAAAGTAACATCAGCAGACACAAAATATTTCCTGATGGACGGATGATAACACCTATACCCTTTTTGAGTACGAGAGTCTCCAACAAAAACACATTTGATGGATCTAGATGACAACTTATCCAAACCAGCAGTTAAATCCTGAACAAAACACGTAGAACCAAAGACACGGAGAATCACAGAGAATTGTTTTTTATCAGGATAAAAAATCCTGAACAAAACACGTAGAACCAAAGACACGGAGAATCACAGAGAATTGTTTTTTATCAGGATAAAAACAATTGAATGGTATTAAACCATTAAAGACAGAGGAAGGCATGCGATTAATCAAATAATTTGTAGTAAGAACAGCATCAGACCACAAATACTTTGGAATATTCATATGTATCATCAGTGTTCTAGCAACATCTAGAATATACCTATGTTTCCTCTCAGCAACTCCATTTTGTTGTGAAGTGTGAGAGCAAGAAGTCTGATGAATAATGCCATTAAGAGCACAAAATTTTAAAACATCACTTTTCATATATTCCAAAGCATTATCAGTACGAAGAATACGAACAAAAGTAGAGAACTGAGTTTTTATTTCATTATAAAAGAGTTCAATAACGTGCGAGACCTCTGACCTCTCTTTTAACAGATAAAACCACGTCATACGAGAGAAATCATCAACAAAGATAATAAAATATTGAAAACCTTGCACAGAGGGAACATGATAAGGATCCCAGACATCGGAATGAACCAACTCAAAAGCAAAACTACTATGTTTATCGACTCGACTCTGAAAAGTAGCACGATGGTGCTTACCCAGTTCACACGACTCACAACCTAAAAAGAAAATAGATGGATGAATAGAAACTACCGATCTAAGTTTTTGTAGTGAATGATGACCTAGACGCCAGTGTCACAATAAAGTGGAGTCAGACTGTGATGCAACAAGACCAACCTCTAGCACACTGTCGTCTAAATAGTACATACCTCCTCTCTCATGCCCCGAACCAATCTTCATCCTAGTTGCTAGGTCCTGAAAAACATAATAAGATGGAAAGAATGTGACTTTACAATTATTTTGTTTTGTAAACTTGCTAATGGATAATAGGCTAACGTGACTTTACAATTATTTTGTTTTGTAAACTTGCTAATGGATAATAGGCTAACAGGAAATTTGGGAACATATAACACATCATGTAAACTTGCTAATGGATAATAGGCTAACAGGAAATTTGGGAACATATAACACATCAGTTAGTTTTAAAAAGGAAGTAGCATGAACTACTCCATCACCACGAACTGAAGAAAGAGTACCATCAACAATGCGGATAGAAGAAAACTTATCAGAAAGATATAAAGATACAAAGTGATCCTTTATACCTGTCATATGAGATGAGACTTCAGAATCTAGTACCCAGGGTTTGTGAGAAGAAGTTATGTAAGCATCCATACCTGAAAAGGATGCATGAGTAGCAGAATGAATGTTCTAAGAGAGTTCTAGCTGGCGTAACCTCTCATAATCTGTCTAAGAAATCTGAACAGTAGGAGCAGTAACAGCTGGACCATCAGAAGTAGTAGCAGAAATAGATGAGTTAGTCGACTCTGTATCAGCTACTTGGGCCCACTGAGGACGACCAAACTTCTCCCAGCACTTCTCAGAAATATGATTGGTTCTCTCATAATGACCACACTGTCGTAAGCTCTTATCAGATTCACATTGCCTCTCATCAAAGGAGCCACGTCCTCCCCCTAAATCACGATCACGACCACGACCACGATCTCTGTCTCGATTAGAGAACATGGCAGACTGATCCATCGTAGGTGGAGATGGTGCAGTAGTATCAGAAGTAACACCAGTAAAAAAAATATAAAGACCTGCATGATACTGGAGAATGTAGCAGTCAGTGAGGAAATTGCATCTTCACCCAATATCTGTCCCCTCACCTGAGACTGTAAATTAGGGTTCAACCCAGAAAGAAATTTGGATACTGCCAGATCACGATGATATCCTAATAGCGTCGCTGCATCAGCTACTGCAGGCTGATGCATCTCTAGTTCATCTATCAGTCCCTTCAATTCACCAAAGAATTTCGGAACTGACTTATCTCCCTGTTTGAGCGTAAGCAGTCGCTCATAAATTTCAAATACACGGGAAACATTCTTCTCGTTCTCATACATAATCTTTAGGTTGTCCCACATCTCCTTCGCAGTGGTTAAAAATATAACGTTGCTACTGATCTGTGCTTCCATACTGTTGAGAAGTCAAGTCATAACACAATAATCAGATGATAGCCATGTAGTGTAGGTGGGATCTGAGGTAGGTGGTGGAGATGCCAGAAGATGTGGGAGTTTACTCTGAGCGCCAATGAAGATGCGGAAAGCTTGCGTCCATAGCAGATAGTTTGTACCATTCAATTTGATTGTAGTCCCCAAGACTACCTTAGGCGCAGAGGTCTCTCCAGCAACAACATGAGTAGTTGAAGAGGAAATATCCGACATCGAAGTAGTAGTCATTTTTGCGCAACAATAGTAGATAGATAGTAGTCAAATAGGCAGTGCAGTAGTAGAGATAGTATTCAAAATAGGCAGTGCATATAGTAGACATGTAGTAGTCAAATAGGCAGTGCAACAATAGGCATACGAGACAGAGTAATAGATAGTCACGCCCTCACGCCGTGGAGGCGATATCACCTGAGGGAGAGAGCCCTGGCTTCTGTTTGTACAAAGGCTCCAGTCAAACTTTTTATTCTCGTTTCTCGAAGGAAACAAGAATAAAAGTGAAATTCTCGTTTCTCGAAGAAAACAAGAATAGAAGTGAAAGATCATAACGAGGTGAGATAGACACTCTTCCTCTCATCAGTTCTATGACTGAAATGTCGAGGGATACAATCGTCCTCTCATCAGTTCGAAGACTGAGATGTCGAGGGAATAGGCACTGTAGCGACGGCATACTGTAGTGTGGTACTATAGCACGGCACTGTAGTGCGGCACTGTAGCAGCGCTGTAGCGGCAGCGGCTAGTGGCGGCGGCAAGGAGAAGAGGCGGCGACGGCTAGAGTTTTTGAATGAGGATTTGTGACGGCTAGGGTTTCATGCTCTGATACTATGTAGAGAATAGAGAAAATCCTAATTGTTGTTTATTGAGAAACAAGAAAGATATATATAGCCATACAAATAGGGTTAATGTTAACGGGTAACAGCCCATTAACCAAATACCCAATATTTAACTTAACAGGTAAATCAGCATATTCGGATCCTGATCATTTAATAAATGAACAGTGCTTTTGTGAAATGATCTTGTTTCAAATTTCATCCTTATAAGCAAGCGATGGTAGCATCCAGCGCAGCAGGAAACAGAAGGGTAACACATAGCAATAGAATCCTTAAGCAGAAAAGGATAAAATCTTGCGATGGAACGATGACACATTTAATGAGAAATGTACCTTGGACTTAACCCTATGTCGGTCAAGAACAACAGCAAATACGTGAACCAACAAGCTGATGTAATATCATTCAGCATATGACCTACACCATAGTAAAGTACAGGTAGTCTTCCAAGGGCCTCAGCATCCTGCCCTTCATCTGATGACTCGTTACCAGTCGCATTCACCATAGCAGCCTGCATTTTTACAGTATTAAAATTGTCGAGATTGCCCGTTATTACCAAAGCTAGATACCTTTAAGAACTCTCGTTACTGCTTCAGAGTCTAACATGCTAGCAATATCATCAATGTAAGAGAGACAGCCTCTCCAATAAACCTAAAAGTAAATTAAAGTAAATAAAAGCAAATAAATTCCAACTTACTCTTCTAAACTTTTCTAATCTAAGTGAACATATGGGTACCTCAGTTTCATATTCAAATATCCTAATAAAGTAACACAGCCAAGGACAAATTTTCAAAACTAGCCCTTTTTTCAAAAATATTTCCAAAAAACGACTTGTTTCAACAATATTTATAAAAACCGACATAGTTTCAACCATCGGCCTAAAACTGATCAGTTTTGACGAAAGAAGTTCCCAAACTTCACGGGACTTAGAACCAAACTTTACGGGACTTGAAGTCCCGTGAAGTTTAGCAGTTATTTAAGTAAGTTGCTAAACTTCACGCGACTAGTTTCAGCTCTGAAACTTCCCGTGAAGTTGTTTTGAACTATGAAACTTCACGGGACTTGAAGTCCTGTGAAGTTTAGCAGCTTAGTTAAATGACTGCTAAACTTCACGGGATTTGAAGTCTCATGAAGTTTCATATTTTGCCGAACTAGTTTCAGCCCGACGGCTGAAACTAGGTCGGTTTTGACGAATGTTGCTGAAACGTGTCGTTTTTTGGGAATATTTTTGTAAATAGGACTGTTTTGAAAATTTGCCAACAAAATAGGCAAAGGAATCTCATTTACCCACTTCCATTTCGCTTTCCTTTTATTAGGCTCAAATCAAAGCTTCCGCAAACAGAAGGGCCACCCAGAAATAATATCCAGAAAAAAATCTTGAGGCATGAAAACTCTCTAGCGCATCAAATTACCTAAGGGTATCCACCAAAATTTGAACAACTCTGAGATTAAATTTAATTTGCACCTTATAAAAAATCAGACAAAACCCATAAAACGAAAGAGGCGAAAATTATTACCTTAAGCTAGGTTGAAGGGAGCGGAGAGCACAGATAGATATAGCTGAGCTAAAAGCTAAAAGCCTGAAGAGAACGAACGCGTGTAAACAAAGACAAGAAAATGAGAGAGGGAGAGTGAGGGAGAGGAATCTAAATTGTGGCGTCAGTTTTTGATATTTCCGCAACTGTGAAGGAAGCGTACGTGTTTGACGTTCATTGGGTTCATAATATCGAACGGGGAGGGACCATGACTGTGTTATTGAGGGGCTGATATTTATTATTGATTAATTTAATGAAAATAGATTACATGTTTCTTAAGAAAAAGAATGTAAATGAATATCTAACAACTCCCAATCTACTCAGTATTCATTTTCTCTATGTAAATTTTTTTTCTTTTTTTTTCTTTTTTTTCTTTTTTTGAGTCGGGGCAAGATGTTCAGGGAAATATATTTATTAGAGAAGAAGATACATGATATACATGAGATGACTGGATGATTCATAGTTCACATGTATTCAAATATTAATAATCATAATTTGTATTTATTCACTTTCCATTTCATGCGTAATATCAGAGTTCTAAATGTATAAAAAAAACACTTCCATTAAAGGTTTTGATGATTTTTACAATTTTTCATATGTGAGAAATGTTGGATTTAAATCTAATTAAATCTAATTTGTGGGCACACATATGATTAATCAGTGTGTATTGATATTCTTAAGGATAACCCGCATAAAGTGATCAATCAATTTGAGTTAATGGGTGTTTAAATAAATTATGGGCTAAAATGTGCAGATATCAGGTTGTAATTATAATTTGATGAGAGGCCAAATTATAAAAGTATAACACCTATAAATAAGAGGTTATGGTCCCTAATATAGGGTTAACATTCTCTATTCTCTTATCCTCATCTAAAGAGATTCTTAAGGAGAGACCCTCAAAATTAGAAGATCATCAAAATCCTAATTCAGATCCGTGTAATGGATTCAGGTATAGCTTCTGCTCTTGTTGTATTAAATCTCTTTAAATTAATCACAGTTAGTAGATCTGTATTAGATCGTTTTTAGCACCAACAAGTGGTATCAGAGCCACTGTGATTATCTCTTAGGGATTTAAGATTAAAGTTAGGGGTTTTTTATCCAAATCAGTGATTTTCAGAACTGTTACTCGGATGAACAGTAAGGTTCATGTTTTGACTTGATCCTCTCTGTTGTTTCGTTGATCTGGATCAAGAATTTATCAATTTTTATTTATTTGAGATCTGGAAAATTACATGGATTAAGTTAAAAATTTGTATGCAACTGGATTTTTTTTAGTTTTGCCGACGTTCACTTAACTCCTCGTCAGCGATCTATCGTTGGCGACCTCGCTGTCAAATGGAGACAGTGGCGACGGCATCAGGAAACCCTAAGGTTTCAACCCTAGGGTGCAGGAGCTTAAGCGGCAGCGACAGTTCAGAACGAAACCCTAAAGGGAATCGTACAGGAGCCCAAGCGGCAGCGACATTTCGTATTTCGAAACCCTAAGGTGCTAATAAGGGCTTGAGGACTTACTTGACTTCAGGCGAACTTCGGTTCGATTCAGCAAACTTTGAGTTTGCTTCAGGCGAGCCTCGATGCGGTTGCCGAACTTCGAACTTCGGGCGAGCTTTGTTGAAAGCTTCTGACGAACTTCGGTTCGATTCTAGCGAACTTTGGTTTGCTTCAGACGAAACTCGTGTTCGAAACTTCAGACAAACCTCGTGTTCGAAACTTCAGACGAACCTCGTGTTCGAAATTTCAAATGAACCTCGTGTTCGAAATTTTAGACGAACCTCGTGTTCAAAATTTTAGATGAACCTCGTGTACGATTTCAGACGAACCTCGTGTTCGATTTCAGACGAACCTCATGTTCGATTCAGGCGAACCTCATGTTCAATTCAGGCAAACCTCGGTTCGAAGTCAAACGAACTTTATGTTCACTGCAGGCGAGCTCGACCCTCGACTTCTGGCGAGCTCGGAGCTTCGTTGCAGGCGGGCTAGATTATGGTCGCAGGCAAGCTCGAAGAGCCCTATTTCAGGCAAGCTTTGAAAACGATCTTCGATTTGATTTCGAATTGAAGGCCAGCGTTTCTGGCTTGCGTTGGGAATGAAAACTAGGGCACAGGGCCAAAGCCTACTTAATATATCTCATGAGCCTATAATTAATTTTTTTTAAAATCTATTTCAACTCAGGCTAAAGCTCATCTTGGTTCTGGGCCTGTACTTATTTCATTTAGGTCGACGCCCATATTAAGCTACTTATGTTTTATTTGGGTCTGGGTTTAATTGAATTTATTTGCTCAAATAAATTTTGGAAATTAATTTAATTTGAATTATATTGTTTAATTTGAATTAAATTTGGTAGTTAATTAATTATTTAATTCAAATATTATGGCATTAAGGTATCAATTTTTGTCTATCATTCCAAATGTTTAATTAAAATAAGAAGTTACCAAATTAACCTCTCTTGTATAGGTTGTTCATAAGGGATGTTAGATGGTTGTGTGTGTGTTTTCGTGTAAATATTTAATCGGCCCAAAGGAAGGTTAATATTTATTTAGACTGCATACACATCTGCGATGATAAACTTGTGATAATTATAAGGTTTACATGTGAATAATGAATTGATCCAAAGATAGCTTTATTTTTTGACATGAGTTATTGTCGGTCTTTGATCATTGCAACAAGATATCATTTATAATTAATATTACTGTCCAAAGACTTGATATTAATGTTGTGTCAGATATATTGAGATGAGATTTGTCATTATTTGAATTTTATTGATTACCAATTATGGTTAATAATATGAAAATCTTTTGTTTATTTTAGCTAATGCATCTGCTATATCAATTTCTGCTAACATCAACTTAATTTCCATGCTAAATGAGACAAATTTTAAGGTTGGAAAGAGAACATTTTAATTATTCTTGGCTGCATGGATCTAAACCTTGCATTAAGAACTGAACAACCTCACCCTCTCAATACGGATAATACTCCTGATGCAAAGAAGAAGTATGAGAAATGAGAACGTTCAAATCGTATGAGTCTTATGATCATTAAGCATGGTGTTCCGGAAGCCTTTAGGGGTATAGAATCCGAAGGGATTACTAAATCTAAAGATTTCCTTGCCAAAATTAAGAAGCATTTTGTGAAAAATGATAAGGTAGAAACAAACACGCTTTTAGCTCGCTTGATTTCAATGAAGTATAAAGGCAAAGGAAATATCATGGAGTATATTATGGAAATGTTTCATATTGCTTCAAAACTTAAGGTACTTAAACTCGATCTTTGTGATGAGTTATTGGTGTATCTGGTTTTGTTGTCTCTTCCTGCATAATTTAATCAGTTCAAGATCAGTTACAACTGTCAAAAGAAGAAATAGAGTCTAAATGAGATCATTTCATACTGTGTACAAGAAGAAGACAGGTTGAAACAATATAAGACAGAAAGTGCTCATTTGGCTTATGCCTTTAAGGATAAGGGCAAGAAAAAAAAGAATAATAATGAAGCTGCTAAGGGTCCTGTTCAGAAGAAACAACATAAGGATGATCAGGGTTGTTTCTTCTGTAACAAGTCTGGACACGTAAAGAAGGATTATACCAAATATCACGTCTGACGTGCTAAGAAGAGTATGTTCCTTACTTTGGTCTATTCTGAGGTTAATTTAGATTCAGTACCTAGAAATACTTGATGGTCAGACTCTGGTACTACTACTCACATAAGTGTTTCTATACAGGGCTGCCTAAGCTACGAAAAGCCAAGTGATGTTGAAAGACACATCTTTGGGGGCGACGGACAATCGGTAGATGTGGAAGCAATTTGGCACTTTAGGTTGCTATTAGGAACTGGTTCATATTTGGATTTAAAAGATACTTTTGTTGTACCGTCTTTTAGACAGAATTGATCTATGTTTCTGTATTGGACAAATCAGGTTATTCTTGTTCATTTGGAAACAATCAATTCAGTTTATCTTCTAATTCAAATGTTGTGGGAACTGGTTATTTGAGTACTTATGACAACATATATTTACTTGATACAATTGCTTCTTATAATGAATCCTTGCATGTGGAATCACGTGGTACTAAGCGTAAATTAAATAAAAAAAATTCACCGATATTATGGCATAAGCGCTTGGGTCATATCTCAAAAGGTAGAGTTGAGCGTCTTGTGTCTGATGACATTTTGGATTCCCTTGATTTTTTAGATTTTAACATATGTGTTGAATGTATTAAGGAAAAACAGACCAAAGTTAAGAGATTAGGTACCAACAGATCTTCAGAAGTCTTAGAATTGATACATACAAATATTTGTGGGTTATTCCCTACGACATATTGGAATGGTCAACAATATTTTATATCATTCATAGACGATTACTCACGTTATAAGTACCTATATTTCATTCATAAAAAATCTGAGTCTCTGGACATGTTCAAAGCTTTTAAAGCCGAAGTTGAGAATCAACTCAATAAAAGGATTAAAATCGTTAGATCTGATCGTGGTGGTGAGTACTACGGCAGATATGATGGTTCAGGTGAACAACGTTCAAGACTATTTGCTAAATACCTAGAGGAATAAAATATTGTCCCACAGTACACCATGTCAGGGTCACCTAGCATGAATGATGTAGCTGAAAGACGAAATAAGACTCTTAAGGATATTGTAAGAAGTATATGATTGCTCATTCTTCTTTACCAGAGTCATTCTGGAGAAAATATTAAAGACAACAGCTTACATTCTGAACAGAGTACCGAGTAAAGCAGTTTCTAAATCACCTTATGAGCTTTGGATTGGTCGAAAGCCCAGTTTAGAGCACTTACACATTTGGGGATGTCCAGCTGAGGCAAGGCCTTATAGGCCAAATAAAAAAATTAGACTCCAAAACAGTTAGCAGCTACTTTATTGAGTATTCTGAACGCTCTAGGGGCTATAAGTTTTATGATCCCACACTCAAAAATATCTTTGAGACGGGAATAACAACATTCTTTGAGGATGTTAAGTTTGGGGGAGAAATAAGGTTAGAAATATTGCTTTTGAGAAGGAATTGGCTTCAGACTCAATCCATACAGTTACTTTTGATAATATTCAGGTTCCTATACATGTTATCGATCAAGAAGTAAATCTAAAACCTCAAGATGACAATGTTGAACAACTCTCTGTTCCAGAAGAACAAACTCAAC